ATCGGGACCACACAGCGTAGCATCCAGACAAGAATAAAAGAACATGAAAGACACTGCAGACTTGTCCAACCTAAAAAATCAGCAGTGGCTGAACATAGCCTACCTCAAACAGTACACAGTATCTTATTCCAAGACACTGAAATGCTGGACAACACATCCAATTACCATGTTAGGTTACAAAGGGAAGCCATTGAAATTCATAAACATAAACACAATTGAAATTCATAAACATAAACATAAACACAATCTCAACAGGAAAAAGAACCTCCTCAGGAAAGCTCCTCCATTAGCATGTCACAGCCTGGGAAACTCCTACAAGATGATGACTCAGCCCTACCCCACCTTCCTGAGTAGATACAAATTACCTGCCTATCATTTTTCTTCTCACACTGACACTGAGAGTACGCCATCTTTCTGTGATATATACCTCTGAGGATGCCAGTCACAACTGCTGGTGAAACGTCAGGTACTACAATGCCAAGACCACGACCATACAGCCCAGAAAATCTACAACAACTAAAGAAGCAGAACTGTTCTCAAAAGAATGTTGAACTGAAAGCCAAATTGTTCCAATTTAAACCTTTCCTTAAGGTTCCTTAAACCTTATCCTAGATAAGATCCAAAGCCCCATATTGATAAGCTTTTTCCATTCTCTCTGTTAATGTTTTGTTCTTGATGCATATACATGTACAAGATTTATAAAGTGAACGGGACTGTATACTACATATAATATATATTAGCCTGCTCTTACTGCATTGTTTTCTACTTTTATAGTATTACCTTCTGCATTGTTTAACATATCATCTCTAAATCTATGCTTTGTAGCAGACCTCTGTAGTCCTAATCATATCACATTGTTTAATAGATGTCTCACTCTATTGACTGCATCAATTTACACTGTGTAATACAACCTGAGTTTCAGTGAGAAAGGTGGACAATAAATGTAGCAAAGAAAATTTTAAAAAACAACAAAAACCAAGTAATACTTACTGCGGCAAGATGGAAATGTGCTGTTGATTTGTTCCATGACATCAGTTAGATCTGTGCTAGTATCATGAGGTGGGACTAACAAGTCATCTACACCTGCAAAAACAAAAATATGCAATGATTATAATAATAAAGTAGTAGCATTTTAAAGAGTTTGTAAACTATTTCTACCATCCTTGTTATTTAGGCTTATACTTAAAAAAAAAAATTGTGCCATTTACGCCTTTCATTTGATATGTACAAGGAATGCTCATTGTTAAATGCTAGAAAAAGGTAACAAAAGTTATTGATTTATAGCTATCGTTTCTACATTATAAAGCTGTACCTGATACAATACCAAAGACATCTGCTGTTCAGTTGTACTCTTGGATCAACTGGAGATTTCCATAGACCGAAGAGATTTCTTCTTGAAGAGTGTGACTCCCCTACCCCACTTCCTGCTGCAGTACAAAATATCCCCTCAAAGTGCTGCTTTCAGCCAAATCATCCTATGCAATACATACACCTATTCAAAAATCTTATGTACCTTTTTATTGCCAGTATTGTGTACATAAAAAAATACCAATGTACATTTTGTAATAATTCCTACTTCAACAGAAGTATACCACATACCCTGCAGTTGTGGACAGGCTTACATCGGGACCACACAACGTAGGATCCAGACAAGAATAAAAGAACATGAAAGACACTGCAGACTTGTCCAACCTAAAAAATCAGCAGTGGCTGAACATACAATACATACACCTATTCAAAAATCTTATGTACCTTTTTATTGACAGTATTGTGTACATAACAACAACGCCCTAAAAATACCAATGTACATTTTGTAATATTTCCTACTTCAACAGAAGTATACCACATACCCTGCAGTTGTGGACAGGTTTACATCGGGACCACACAACGTAGCATCCAGACAAGAATAAAAGAACATGAAAGACACTGCAGACTTGTCCAACCTAAAAAATCAGAAAAGAACCTCCTCAGGAAAGCTCCTCCATTAGCATGTCACAGCCTGGGAAACACCTACAAGATAATGACTCAGCCCTACCCCACCTTCCTGAGTAGATATAAATTACCTGCCTACCATTTTTTTTCTTCTCACATTGACACAGAGAGTATTCCATCTTTCTGTGTTATACCTCTGAGGATGCCAGTCACAACTGCTGGTGAAACGTCAGATCCTACAATGCCAAGACCACGGCCATACAGCCCAGAAAATCTACAACAACTAAAGAAGCAGAACTGTTCTCAAAAGAATGTTAAACTGAAAACCAAATTGTTCCCATTTAAACCTTTCCTATAGAACAAATCTAGTGCCTATCCTAGGTAAGATCCAAAGCCCCATATTAATAAGCTTTCCCCACTCTCTCTGTTAATGTTTTGTTCTTGATGCATATACATGTACAAGATTTTAATGGCCAGCACATTAAATATTTTTTTTAAAAAAGCTATTTTGCACAGGGGCAAGATCCTCCACATCCATCTATACTTTCTTCAAAGGAACTTGCTTCTAAGCCCTAGCCTGAAAAATATCCAGCTCCTGTCAACCAGAGTCAGGACCTTTTGGCCCTGGTGTTGGCCTAGTGGAACTCTATGCCTTATGATATCCATGCCCTGCAGGACCTAGTGTAGCTCTGCAGGGCTTGCAAGACAAAGATTTTCTGCAAGGCCTATGGTTAAGGAAAGCAATGGTCTTCCAGTGAGCCTGGCCTTCCCCATCTTTCCTCTCCCCCACCATGGGACAAGGACAGAAATTGGTTCTTAAGCACCATCTGAAAAAATCTCAGAGCTTGTCATCGTTTTAACTACTTTAAGTTGCCTGTAAATGTATTTACTTACTGAAATGTGGTTTCTGAAATGTATTTATTGAAATCTTGTTCACCGCCCTAAGCCCTATGTATAGTGGGAGGGTGGTCTATAAATCAAATAAATAAATAAATAAACAAACAATAAATAATATTGTAAAAGCTTTAGAAACCCATTCACAAATATAACACAACATTTGGGCTGATCAAGTAACTCACCCGTTTGATTAAACTGTGTACTGGTATCCTGACCAGGTGAATAGCTGAGTGCAGAATGCTGAGGTGAAGCACAAGAAGAGCCGCCATTAATTCTGGAATCTGTGTCTGGCTAAAGATTCAAGATTTAAGAACAAATAACATTTAAAAACAAATGTATTTAAAGGTGTCAGACCACACTTGAAAAAATTGGTATAATCTATTAGCAATGGTTTGGATCCAACTGCACATGAGCAGTGTTCCCTCTAAGCTGAGTTAGTATGAGCTAGCTCAC